CCTACTTAAATAAAAGCGTGACTGTATGTTTAACAAAAAAATTCATTATGCAATGTACAGTATTATCAGTTTTAATTTTCATAACTTATGGCAATGAATGTCTGTTGTATGCTACTTATATTGATAGATATAAGTAGTATGTAATACCAATAGGAAGTGGAATATATTCAGAGAAGATTAGGAAAAAACCAGAAAGTGATTGTAGCAACAACCAAAATGAAAGAGCCATGAAGCATACAGAGGACAATTGATGGAAGATATGCAAATTATGTATCTAATGTATGGTCTTCATTTAGTATCAAAGTGATTTGTAATTTACATTAAAGAATTAGTCAATCGTCCTCACTTGCGCTATCGTTCACTTCAAATGTATGTCTCTATGCCGTTGTTTAATCATCTGCCTTTAATTCGTAGTGCTGTAGTGAACGAGAACACAAGTGGGGACAACCGAATGTATTTGAATATAAGATTACGGAATCTCTTGGTGAAATCTGAGAACCGTACAGTAAATACTTCATTTGCGAAATGTCAATCAGTTTTCACAGACTTGATTGTTCTTTCGTTTCCATGCCAGTCACTCTCTGTTCTCGTTCTCTTTTGTTCGATCTCTTTAACCTTATTCGACCAGGCATTTCACTTTTGATTTATGCTACATACTACACATATTTATCGACAACAGAATCGTACACCACAGTACTATCTTCAAAATTTTCACTAAATGTTGCAAATCATAATTTGATCACTAGTGAGGTCCTCGGTATATTTTATGAAATAAATGACACTAAATATAGCTGTTCGTGTTATGTCGTACAACGGTATATCTATTTCAGTAAATACCGCTTATTATGATTCATTTATTCAGTTGACATTGACATCACAGTATCACCTTAACAGTTAATAATTTTTCCTTGTATAGGGCAGATTGGGTAAACTATAGAAATTTCATAATTTAATTTGAACAAGTTGATCATTGGTTACCTGCTCAATGGTCCAGAGATTAAGCGTAGCCACGTGAGGTTGAAAGTACCAATTTTACGCGACCATTATGGTTCAAGAATGAGCACTGATAAGGAGTTTCATGCATAGACTTGTACATAGCTTGTACAGTGATTCCTGGTTTATATTGATAATCTAGTCAGAATCACCTTCCAGTTTTAGCAATGAAAAGAATTTCTAATCTTTCATCATGTTGAATGAGCACATTCCTGATAATTTTAAGTGGGTGTGTCCGTTAAATTACACCTACATAACATTCAAGTTATTCATTCAGCTGTCCTTTTATCAAAATGATAATTATGGTCAACTAAAATCAGATTTTTAGTAGATAACTATGGACAGAATAATTAGATTGATAATGAGCTTATGATAAGACCACTTTTGACCTGTAGTTGTAGTATAAAAGAAGCGTCAATGGTATTCTTCCTTCAGAAATAGTAACATAATATTTCATGGCACACTATTGTATACACAACTTCTTTCTATTACTGTGTATACTGATACAGAAAGGTAAGTGTTTTAAAGCATTTGTGTTAATACTATTTACCTTAAATATACTTGGCAGATTAATGTATTGAGTTATCCCAGTTGATGGTTTGCATGTTACGTTGTATGTGCCTCATTAATGATCATAAGTAATCTATAATAGCAACGAACGATTTTTGAACATTTATATTAGAATACTTCTTAAAACATTGATAGGATACAAACACTGTTGATCGTTTATCAGGAGTCAAAAGTATGACAATGAAAGCTGTCACAATAAACTATCTACATTACAGAACCTAAAACCATTGAAAATAAGTGATAGATATAAATCAGTACCGTATGAACATTCTTTCAATTATGCTTAGTTTGTTTGGTAAAATGCATCATCAGAAACCTGACTTTCAGTCAAACTGTAATGTAGTTGAATTCGACTATCAAAATCACTGATTGATCAGAGTTAAGTAATTTTCGAAGACTAGGAAGGAGAAAACAGTTGTTTTGTTCTGATATTAGACTCTTAAGGAGTATGCATCCATAACCTCATAATGGATCACACTCATGAGATTCAGTCTCATGTGTGAGCTCTTAACCTTTCAATTACTGAGCCATAACCCAAAGTTTTACATAATTAGACTTAATCCATTCGCAATAGTACCGCAGCAATTTTCTGAATGTTATGATCAGTGGAGTTTCACCAAATCATATATGAGACAGTTACCTGGAAAGGTCGTATTCATAATTTTCATATAGGATAAAGAATCTTTTTAGAGCTTTCTGATTTTCAATGTTTATGTGAATAAAATCAATCTGTAACGCTAAATATAAACTACGACGTGACTGCTGTACTGGTGTTTTATAGTTAACTTTAGGAATCAGTTCTTTATTCAAAAATCCTAAGTTAGTACCTAGGCGAATCAACTTTACTCAGGATCTAGAATTCAAATGTATAGGTGCGGTAAAAGTGTTCCTGAAACTTTATCTAAATGCTAAATAAGTACTATCTTATACAAACACTAACGATACAACTAATTGGGTCACATAAGAAAGATTCAATCATTTGGGTCGATTGTGTTTCGATAACAACAACAAACAGTATGAATTAATATTTGATGGAATGAAAGGTCGAATAAAACGCTTGTTTTCTGTAATATGACAAGATTGCCATCCTGTCTAGTGAAACAATAATCATGAGCAATGCAAATCCTACAGCAAAACATCAATGTGAAGATCCAAAAAACAATACTATGAAAAATACTAAATCTCCACAAAACCCCTTCTGATAATTATTACTAAGTAAATATCAACTTCACCTCACTGCACAAGCAAGTGGCTATCAGGATTCAGTGGCTGAGTGGATAACGCGATGGCGTTTGAAGCGAAAGGTACCGTGTTCGAGTCCCAGAGTGAACATCAACTCATATGTATGTACATCCAACTGACGAGTCCCAAATAGGATGTGGTGACGCGCATCCTGGATTCCACTGCTAGCCACTATCTATCTTTGCTTACCATACTTGTGAATTTAGGCTATATCGAGGCAATACGAACAGTATGAACATATGCCAATTAGAGACTGACCAGTTGCAGTCCTAAAACATTGATGGGAAGATCCAAACAAACAAAACTAAATAAATTCTAATGATGACGTTTATTTTTGTGTAATTTTCATACAGTAAATATTATAATACATAATACTAAAAATACCTAATTGGATCTTATTGGCTGAATAGTAGCCTACGAATAAATATCCCACAATCAGTCATTGTTTGAATGAATTCAAATCACATTTTATATACCTTCTAATATAGATATGTATTCGTCTTATTATAAACTGATTATTATAACATTTTTGTTACTAGTTAGGGATTGTATTAGTGATTAGGTTCTCAAACACTAATCATTATTCAATCACACTTCCACTTATATTCGGGTGGTAAATAGAATTTCTATACAAATGCACATATTATAAGTAAAGATGGATAGTGACTAGTAGTGGAATCCAGGACGCTATTTGAATGTATCTGAATCTCAGAGTTGATGTTTACTCAGGGACTCGAATCCAATACTGTTAGCTTCAAACGACAATGCGTTATCCATTTAACTGATTAGTCCTGATAGCCACTTGTTTGTGTAATGGGGTGAAGTCTTGGATATCAAGTAAACAATGCATAATGTTAAACTAGATGACGTGAATATTCTTCTCATACTGTACAGACCTTCTAGTTAAGAAATTTTATTGATAATATCTATATACTATGCGAATAAGAAGTTGACCATTTGGACTTTTCTGGTTTTAAGAATTGAAATGCTCAAAAATTATTGAAAATATTGAAGACAGTGCCAAATTTTATGAAGGTTAGTAACTATTGAAACATTTTGGTTTCTAGACAATGTAAAGAAAAAAATTTATTTTAACTCAGAATTCATTCCAAATAATTTTAGGGTATTAGAGAATAACAACTTTGTAGTTTTATTATCAGTATATAACCTGAATATATTGACTTGTTGAAATGAAATCATTTCAGTTTACATAACTGTATAGTTTTACAATACATATCAACAGTTTACCTGTAACAAAAGACGTTATTATCTTGAATGAATGTAGTGTATAAACAAAGATGGATAGTGACTAACAGTGGAATCCAGAACACGCGTTTCGTTCTAGTTTGGACTCATCAGCTGGATGTAACTGCATTTCAGAGTTGATGTTCACTCTGTAACTCTAACCCAGTATCATTCGCTTCAAATGCTATCGCGTTATCCACTTGACTACTGAGTCCTGATAGCCACTTGCTTGTGCAATGGGGCACATTATGCATATATGCCAATAAGCGACTGATCAATTGCAGTCCTAAAAAGCAATGGGAAGATTCAAACAAACAATACCAAGTGAATTCAATGTAGTGTATGTTTAGTATGAAGAATGTTTTGGATTGAGTAACAATCCCTATCACGTCAAGTGTTGAATAATTTCTGCTTATGAAATCTCAGTGTAGCATCTAGTTTAAGTGACTCGACATCATAGTTAATATCGCTCTATATTAAGTGGTTAGGGATAATAACAAAGATATACTGAAAACAGATTTCATACTTGTAAGTCATATACGTGTACACTTATGAGTGAACTGAGGAAATATTAGGATTTCATTTCTCAAAAAGCAGTGATCTTCCTTGTACACCGAAATCTTCCCTCTACCTATATTATCTATTGATAATAGAGATTCCATTATCATGTCATTCAAAATTGATGATAGTTTACAAACGAATTTACATAGTGGCTGCTAGTCTAGATCACCGAGATATCGATGGTTCCGGTCCCAAAGCAAACATTAGTTCTATAAAGAAAAATTATTATTTTGTTATAGCAAGTATTCAGCTATCAGATTATTGAACACATAAGTCTTGTTTGGAAACTTCAACTTCAAGATAAGATAAGACAAACGCAGTGTATGTCAACATATTGTGTTCTACAAATCAAATGCTTTGTGATATATATACAGAGAGAGGGACACAACATGCAGTTTATAATATACGCCTATATAATTTTTGCCATAGTGAAATTACCTGAATTAGACAAAGAAGCACAAATTGCAGAAGATGAAGCCCAAAAAGTCATAAGTAAGTCAATCATTGCAATTCATTTTTAGAAAAACGCTGATTCAATTGATTGATTCAATAACGTGAAATAAAAGCCTATGAAACTTTTATTTAAGTTGCTAGGTGAATAGGATTGTTATAACTATACATATAGATTACCACAAACTATACTAAAATCGATCAAGTCAAATTTACTTACGTCTGTCACCCTTGTTGGGACGGCATCCCAAAGCTACGACGGAGCCTCCAGAGGCCCTAAAGGAGTCGTAGAGTTTCCGTTTAATCAGGACGTGACGGAGCATTTTAGAATATCAACGTAGCAGAACATGCTTCCTTGCGGATTGGCAGAATTATAATATCGATATAACAAACGCTAATATCTATAGATACCGATGATTTTCTGTACATTTTGATCTTTACCCAACAAGCACCTCTCCAATCTTCCTTTGTATTCCGAATTCCAACTGTGAGGGCTCTATGCTTTTCAGTGTCGTAGTTGTATACCGTATTCTGTGTTAATCAAGTAGCAAACTCAGTAACTCCTTGTGGCGAAGCACAGACAACCCACCAGTGTCCTCGACAATCCTTTCTAGTTCCTTCCACGTGTTACTCATCCAAAAATATCCACTTATTAGTAGCAATAAAATTTTAATTTTGAAAATAGTTTACCAGTTCAACCAGTTACGGCCGAGGTTGGGGAGAGTCAGCTCTCCTTCTCCGAATGCTCTCACATGCATAGCCACGTGCATATAACCACAGCTAGGATAGTCCTACTCACCGCCTTCTCCTGGCGGGAATGTTGTTCACGAAATTAAGAGGACGAAAAGCCAATATCCGGCTCTTTAGCCGGTTTGAACGATACGGAGAGTCAAACTTAGCGAGTTAGAAAAACCTGACTACAAACCAATGATTCTCATGGGCTCTAGGATCCTGAAGGAACAAATAGCGTATGAACTAATCGTTGGTCAGTGGCTGTCATGGCACAACAACTCCTTACGTTGCTCCGCTGTGTTGTGGATCAGACATTTAGGTTGAAGACTCCGGTTGTGGCCTACTAATATAACACCACCTGCTACGGTTTAGGCACCCGAGCAGTATCACATCCATACACGAATCAAGTGACTTGTGTACCAAAGACTAATATTATTTCTCTTTGAATATATACCTTTAAAGATGAAATAACTGATCAATGGGGAAATCATAATATCTCATTTGGTAAGTGTAATTTGTTACATAACGATTCAAAATAATCAAAATAATATTTCTATTTCAGTAATTGAATGTCAAAAATTATATTATGAGAGTGAACAAGGAATAACCCTGTTGACTGGTATATTCTTTATTAAAAGCTATGTGAAATTTTGTTAAATATTTATGATCATTACAATTTTATAATAGTTGAAATCATGAGCCCATTGAAGCTAGACCACTATGGAAAACCTAGAAGTACTGGACGGCCGTTTCGTCTTATTGTTGGACTCCTCAGTGGTAGTGCGCATCCATGAACAAAGTTATTTCAATTTCATTACATCATATTAGGATTACAATTCATTGATTAGATTTGTATTAGATATGAATTCTATCTTCAGTATGAATATGCATAGCTCCATGTTGTGTGTTCAAGTATGGTTGATAAGCTTAACCGATGAATGTAGAATACACGTTTAGGTTGGTTGCCTTTAATTATACATATCTTCAAATGGTCTTTCCTGTACGTTAAGGTTGGAAGATAAGTATTTCTGGGGTTAGACGTAGGGAACTAGATCAATTTAGTGGGTCGTTAAAATAGTAATATTAATAATAATGATAAAATGTTTAATAACTGAGGTATTTGGGACCTGTGTGACAGTGTAACACCATCTACATAAATATAACCGTTAGTATGAGATATGTTGTAATACAAATAGTAAGTATCAGGGAGCAGTATTTTAATCGTAGGTGACAAGGTTTATTGCAATAAGGCAGATGTATTCATTTTGATTATCCTTGTAGAGCTCAGATATTGGTTTCATTACTCCTTATGCACATTCGTACCTGTTTCTAAGTTTCCAGAAACTTGCTATATCTGTTTCACTACTATGGATTAATATACAAATGGAGATTGACATTAAAGACTTTAAGTTTCTTAAGTTCCTTAATTTCTCATTCAAGTTTCATGTTTTCATCCAATATAGAAGGAAGCTTTTGTGCTTTAAGTAAACATAAAACCAAAATATAATTGCAGCATAATATGTAAGAACTTTCATCTACATTTTAACCAATAGTTTCACAGTATTTGGGCACCGAGTTGATGTAACACATTAGAAACGAAGAATGTAATTGTAAAATCTCAGCGAATGAATTTTTAGTAAATCAAGAGTTTTTGCTCGACCACTGTATCATTCCTTGCATAAAACTGAGAAATATGATTTACATTATTATTAAACATCATGTTGTTTGATTAAGCCGCCAAATGCCCTGGAACGGCCGAGAGGGGGGAAGAGTCAGCTCTCCCTCTCGAAATGCTCTCACATGGCCACGCGTATACATCCTCTGTTAGGGAGGTCTTATTCACTGCCTTCTCGCACCACCGGTGTTGTTCATGAAATTGAGAGGACGAAAAGTGAATGTCCGGCGCCTTAACCGGGTTGGTGGACACGGAAAGTCCACCTAGGGGAGTTGGAAAACCCTGATTCCAAACCAATGGTGCACATGGACTCCAGTATCCTGATGGAACGAATGGCGTATGAATCAATCGTTGATCACCGGCTACCATGGGACTGCATCTCCTCACGATGCTTTACTGTCTTTTGGATCAGATCTGTAAGTCAAAGGCTCCGGATGTGGTCCCCTAAGAAAACCACTTGCTTTGGTTTGAGCACCTGAGCAGTATCACAGCCCTCACACAAATCAAATGAGATTTGTGCGGCGCATATGTATCTAGTGCCCCTTTTCACCAATATTTATGTGTTCAAATAAATAAAATAAATTGATTTAACATTTTCAGATGTCATAGGTTACGTGAAAAGCAATTTAGTTGATATTAGTAAGTTCAAGATTGTATCTATGTTCAAATCAATAATCATCGAGTTATTTAGCATGCAGTTAATTACTTTCTGTATAGTAACATACTCTAAAGTATTTGACGAATATTTCGACTTCACCCATCTTATTAGGTTCAATACTGAAAGAAAACTACACTGAACTTATAGATTGTTTTCAAGAACAAATCAAACAGTATCAAAGTAAGAGATACATTTTTTTGAAGTATGATGATACCACATCGCTACATTGACATGTCTCCTGTTTACTGATTCCATTGAACGAAATTCACTTTGTTATATCGTGAAGTTATCTTGTTATCTTATTGATTGTAATGAAAGTTACTGAAGAAGCATTGTTAATCATGTTGGTAGAAAAGAATAAGAATTTCCATACTTTGCCTGTTAGCAGAATATGTATACATATTTTAACTATTTCAATTAGAACCTACTTACTTAATTAAGCCTGTTACTCCTCGTGGAGAGGCGTAGACAACCCACAAGTATTCTCCATCAAAACTATGTCCTCGACAATCCTCTCCAGTTTATTCCAGTAGCTATTCATCCTTTTCATGTCTGCTTCCAATTATCATCACAGTGTCTTCTTTGGCCTTCCTCCTTCTAGTTTCCCTTCAACATTACAAATTAGCGCTTGTCTCGTGATGCAGTTTGACAATTTACTCAATGTGTCTCAAAAACTTTCAACATCTTTTCCTGACGTCCTCCTCAATTGGAATCTGAATTGTTCTCTCCCACAGTAGACCATCGCTGATGGTATTCGACCAACGGACATTCAGTATCTTACATAGACAATTGTTTATAAATACTTGTATCTGTTCGATGATGGTTGTGATAGTTCTGGAAGTTTCAATCTCGTACATTAGAACAGTCTTGACATTCGTATGTTTATGGAAACATGTAGGATGAAAACGTTTTCTAGCAAAAAAATATTTGTCAACAACAAGTTGTAAAATCAGATGAGAATGTTTGGATTAACTTGTTTTCACTATAATCTGACAACATTGATAATTATACTGAAAACAATATGAGATTACTGAGGATGACTTTGTTTTGTTATGGAATCATCAATTTTCAACTTTTCACAAAAGAAAGAATTATGTGATATTAGAGGGGGTTTTGTGGAGATTTTAGTAATTTTATATGATTGAAATCATGAATTAGTTGAAGCTGGACCATTATGGAAAACCTGGAAGGTCCTGGGTTCGGGATCATGGATGCGCACTGCCAATGAGGAGTCCCATAATAGGATAAAACGGCCGTTCAGTGCTTCTAGGTTTTCGATGGTGGTCTAGCTTCAACTGACTAATGATTTCAACCATATAAAATTATGTGATTGTTGGGGATGTCAAATCCCCATAACTTACTTGGTAAATAGCTTAATTTTGTAATTTTATTTTGAAAATTTGAATTTCCTTGTTTTCGCAGCAAAGGCGCTCTTTTCACCTTCAAGTCATATTTCCCACTTGTAAAATATTTTAAATGCTATTGTTCCGTTGTAGCTTTGAGTGTGCTATTATGTAATGCTGCCTAAGGACAAATTATCGCTGTATATATACGTTTAAGATTTTCCCCTTACGACTTGCTTGTACTCGGCTGCTTACGGAATATATATTCCTCTACTTTGCCTTGGACTTCTTTCTCTAGTTAGCTGAGCCTGGGACAACGGATTAGACTAGCCTATCGTGTCATTGGCCTTCGTTCATTACCGAGAAAATCGACTTAGCTTGAGCATATCAGTGATAGTCAGTTTATTTGTTGTCATATTGAACTATAGTGTTAAAAATTGAAGTATTTGTATGTATGATTACGCTAGGACGTAGATAGTTTCATATCCACGTATATGAATGAAAACATTTAATGGTAAATTTTTTAAAATTATAATATAAGACAATGATCCTAGGAGCTGACATCAGTTCTTCCCATTGACTATTGGTTCTAATTTTTTTTTTTTTCTGTATTTAATTAGAAGATAAAGACAATCGTGCTGGTTTCGCATGTTACGATGATATGTCACTTGATCTCTTTCAAAGTAATAACATTTTATAAAATTTATGTTTAATTTTACAGTACAATAGAGGTCAATTTGTGAGCTGTTTTGTAATAGCTTTAAAAGTCAATAGACTAAGTGTCTTTTTGTCCACACTCAGTGACCATATATCAGAATGAATATCGGTTTCCTCCATTTTCTGGATGGGCTTATTTGATGATAGGTTGATGAACAGTAGCTCTTGAATGTAATCTTACAGATTATTATCTTCATACCATGAAATGGACCATTTATGTGGATGTAGCATCAGCAAAACATTTTTTTCAGTTATTAGATATTTGATTATTTTGAATAATTTCGAAATTCTATTGGTTGAATTCATTAGTCTATGTAAGTTAGACCACTCATAAATGCAACTATTAAAATTACTACAATCCTCATAAACTTAATTCTGACCATAATCATTATGTACTCACTAGTAACTGGCTTCAAGATGATTTCTTGGAGTTCTAATAAGAAGCCGTGACCATTGGTGTCCAATCCATTTCGTACAGAGACAGGTATCTACTTCAGACAGTGGATGAGTAGTTGCGCAACCATTCATGGATCAGTGGAAGTAAAACATTAACACCGTTGGATACCGACAGTTTCAGTGGTCTAGAGGTTAAGCGTTCGTGCGCGAAGCCGACAATTCTAGGTTGAAGTTCCTTCGGTGCGAGACCTAGGTTGCGCACTGCTAAAGAGTTCTATACTAGGACGAGGCTGTCGTCTAGTACTTTCGGGTTTTAAATGATGATCTAGCTTACATGGACTCATGAATTCAAGTATTAAATTTGCTACAATCTCCACAGACCCCATTCAGATGCTAATTTAAACATTCACTACAAACATATAAATTATCAGTAACACTATATATTTATTTAGTTCAAGTTATGCAAACAGTTTTCATAAGAAGCGGTTTTGTGGAGATTTAGTATTTTTCATAGTTGAAGGCGTGAGTCAATTGAAGCTAGACCAACATCGAAAACCTGGAAGCATTGGACGGCCGTTTCGTCCTACTATGGGACTCCTCAGCAATGCGCATCCACGATCCCGCTCTCGCGAGATTCGAACCCAGGGCCTACGAGTCTCGAGCCAGAGCCCTTAGCCAACAGACCACTGGGCCGGCATCCAACGGTGTTAATGTCTAACTTCAACTGATCCACAAAGTTGAGCAACCGATCATAAGGTTAATCTACAAAGTTTGCTTTGATATTAATTATTATAATACGTCAATATTTTATTCCCTTAAAAATGCAACAAAATAATCGGTCACTTTTCAAACTGTGTATTTTTATTAAAGGCGTTAGTCTTCTCGATGGAAAACTAGTTGATTTGTATAAGCGTAAAGCAGAATTCAGTAAATATTTATGTAAGTACATTGTATTGATGTGTTTGTATTTGGTGAATAGCTTTTCAATACATTTCATAAATTGACTTATATAAGAAAGGGCTCTTAAGAATTACTTTTCATTAAAGGTAGCACAAATGATTATCTTAAGATTAGATGGTATTGTCTAAATTGAAAAATTTGGGGATTAAACAGTTTTCATGATTGTAAGCAAAGATGGATAGTGACAAACAGTGGAATTCAAGACGCGCATTTCGTCCTATTTTGGACTCGTCAGCTGGATGTAACTGCATCTCAGAGTTGATGTTCACTCTGGGACTCCAACTCAGTACCTTTGACTTCAAACGCCATTGCGTTATCTACTCAGCTACTGAGTCCTGATAGTCACTTGCTTGTGCAATGAGGTGAAGTTTAAATTCTCTTAGTATTGTTTGTTTGAATCTTCCCATGATTGCTTCGAAGAACTTTGTCACTTTTCATTTGACGATTCAGTCCCCGGTTGAAATATAGTATAGTATTATATTACTATAATACCGGTCAAAACTTAAAAGGTAAATTGTGAGGATGGTTCACAGGTGAAGTCGAGGAGGTTCTGGGAAGCCCAGGAAGAGCCGCAGACATTCCATCCAATCAGGGCTAGGGGAATGTTCTAGAAATGCCAACGTGGAGCTTCCCCATTGGATGGATTAGTTTGATACCTATGTGCTTATTGGTTGACCTAAATGATAATTTACTTTCAGCCAATAACTATAAATACACGAGATTTCTAGGCTATATTTTGACATTGTTTGGGGCAATAAACTTCCTGCTTACCAGTCTTCGTCTTCTCTCTTTTGCGACGTTTGCGGGTTCTATCGTTCAAGTAGTCAAGTAGTTCGCGGCATATTAAGAATCAAGGCTCTAGATATAACAACTGGCGACGGGTTAATTTATCAAGATGTCTATTACCTTTGACCAATTTGAAGCTTTTCTAGAGCGCCATGAAAAACGGCTTGAACAATTCCACAGCGGCCATCCCGGGATCAATAAGATGAAAGCGTTAGCTCGAAGCTAAGCATACTGGCCATCAATGGACCATGATATAGAGCAAAAATGTCGCAGTTGTTCGTCCTGTTTAGAGGCCGCAAAGAACCCAAATAAAGCTGAACCGCAACCATGGCCAAAACCAGACGGTCCCTGGCAAAGAATACATGCTGATTTTGCCGGCCCAATACAAGACAGAAATTACTTGGTTGTTGTCGACGCCTTCACGAAATGGCCAGAAGTATACGACATGCCGAAAATGACGTCAGAGAGTACTATAAGAAAATTGACAGGTTTGTTCGCTTGTTTTGGGGTTCCTGAGATCTTAGTGACTGACAACGGCACCCAGTTCATGTCATCTGTCTTTAAACGGTTTTGCACTGAAAATGGCATATCACATCTACAGTCTCCCCCGTACCATCCTCAGTCGAATGGCCAAGCAGAAAGATTCGTGGATACTATAAAACGAGCTCTAGTTAAAGGGGGAGGAGAGGCCATCCCAGAACAAGTAATCAGCAAGTTCCTTTTGTCTTACAGAGTTACCCCCAATCCGGCAGTACCCGAAGGTAAGTCACCAGCCGAGTGTATGTTCGGGAGGAAAATTCGAACAATCTTTAGCAGTATGTTGCCACCTAGAAAGACAAGAAAACCCACGAATGGAAACCATATGGTCACTCGTAGCTTCAAGGTGGGTGAAAGGGTACTCGTTAAATCGTATCAAGGTGGAAAAAGGTGGGAACCAGGTATTATAGAACGTCGAATTGGAAGTGTATTGTATTTAATCCGAAGAAATGTCGGTACTTGTATAAGACACATCAATCAAATTCGAAGGGATGGCAGAACATGGATGCTACAAAGCCAGCTCCCATTTCAATTGCTCATGGATTCGTCTCCAAAAAGCACCCAGGCGCGCGAAGGTAGAAAAGATAAAAGACGCAAGAGCAAGGCGACACAACCTTCGAGAGTAATGAGTTGCAAGAGAATAGCGGTAACTCAATTCCAGCTGGATCCGAGAAAAAGGACTTATACAACAGACTTTAAAGGGGGGAGGTGTGAGGATGGTCCACAGGTGAAGTCGAGGAGGTTCTGGGAAGCCCAGGAAGAGCCGCAAACATTCCATCCAATCAGGGCTAGGGGAATGTTCTAGAAATGCCAACGTGGAGCTTCCCCATTGGATGGATTAGTTTGATACCTATGTGCTTATTGGTTGACCTAAATGATAATTTACTTTCAGCCAATAACTATAAATACACGAGATTTCTAGGCTATATTTTGACATTGTTTGGGGCAATAAACTTCCTGCTTACCAGTCTTCGTCTTCTCTCTTTTGCGACGTTTGCGGGTTCTATCGTTCAAGTAGTCAAGTAGTTCGCGGCATATTAAGAATCAAGGCTCTAGATATAACATAAATAGATAACACACTGCCATTTTTGTCTCAGTAACAAAATCAACAATAAGATTCGGAGCTTTCAGTTGACGAGTTCCAAGTCGGCAAAATGGATATCATTAATTGCTTCTATTCAATATTATTATTTTGGTACACTATGGAATTCTCAACACAATGCATTTCAACAAGATTCCGTTTTTTACTTCTTGGTCCCAGAAAACCAATAAAGGGGAAATAAAGGCGAACAAAGGGGTAATAAAGGGGGAAATGCATTGACAAATAAGGAGGGAATAATGCGGAAATGCGTCAGAATGTCTGCTTTTTCGCCTGTCCGGGGTAAATAAGGCGGAATTTCCCCTTTATGTCTCTAGATTTCCGACTTTCGCCCTTAATATCCGACGAATTGCAGATTTTTACCCTAAAGATCCGCTACATTGTCTACTTTTCGACTACATACACACTGATGTAACAATCGACGTCGATCCTGACGATAAATATTGAATGATCGCCAGATAGAAGTTAGAAGTCTAGTCAATCTACATCTAAGCAATGTACACTCTTTTCCCAGCATACATATTTCCAGCAACCACGATACCTCTGATTGAGCCTTCTGTAATTTGTATAACAAAAAGTTGTACATTTTTCAGAAACTCACTTGAGTAGGTTATGCAAATAATGGACATAGTGATGTATCAAAACAAATAAAATCAGATAACTTGTTGAAGGATCTAGATAGAAAGAACAGGCAGCCCAGATATTAAGTTAGGCCGCCAATGAATTACAATAAGAAATTTATTCAATCAAAGTTAAAATTATTGAATTCAATTGTTTTTTATATTTCAGTTTACAGAAGATTCAGTTTGGATGTTGCTAGAAAATTAAAACGTTAGTTATAAAACATAAAATTGAAATCATCTTTTCTATTCGATTCGTTGAATATTTATTAAGTCAGATAAAATTACGCAATGAATTCAATCAGTGAATGGGTAGAGTCAAAAACTATTCAAGCTTTCTTTATACTGTAGAATTTAAAAGTTTAAGTTATCACTAGGAATGGAATCTCAACTATTCATTTTATTCTATTTAAATCTTGTGCATCAAAAGTCCATCACTATTTATAAACACAGATGATTGATGATGGTTAACAGTAGAAAAAATGATGCACTTTTCGTCATATTCTGGGACTCGTGAACTGCATGTATCTGCATCCCAGAGTTGATGTTTACTCCGGGACTAGAACCCAATACCGTTCACTTCAAATGCAATTGTGTTATCTACTTAGCTACTAATAAGTCCAGATAACCACTAACTTGTGCAATGGGGCAAAGTTCGACTCATTTTGACACTATAATGCTTGTGATTTCAGACAATATCTGTTGGGATGATCCTAAAAATTTTTCGCAATAGACATGACAGGCTCAGGAAACAATAAGAAGCATTTTATGCAATCAGCGTTTGACTAGAAGCTTTGCTAGAAACATCCCGAAAATGAAAAGTCACATGTAGAGTTTCTGATTGGCTGATTACTACACTGCAACTATGTTTAGTGGTATTCTAACATTTTCAGGAAAACCCAATGACTTCTAAAATACTATAAAAACACTATATATACTCTACATAAATGAACCTTTGGAGTAAAGTGCTTCTAGTATATTTTGCGCCTCTTATCTCGTGTTCAAGCCGCTGTGTAGTTCTAGTTTGGGAGTTTTGAGACTAGCTTAGGATCCGAGTATAGCGTTCAATCAGCAAGACTTATCAATATCAAGGCAGTTCACATAGGATGTACATATGCCAATAAGAGACCGATCCATTACAGTGTTAAACATCAATGAGAAGATTTAAACAAATAATTTGAAAATGAATTATCACCATCTATATTCACAATTAAACTTGAACAAATTGTCTAATAGGTTTTACACTAAGAGAATAGAAAAGATAAACTCTTGAAGATACTCATACTATGTAGGAGTTTGTACTTTTTACTACTTAATATCTATTCCATTTAATTAGTATAAAATTCCTTATTTAAAATTAAATTTTATCTTTATTCATGTTTTCATTAAGAACAAATGAAAAATTAAACAGAGAGATTATGTCAAAAGGAAGAAAAACTCGTCATTAACTAACAAGAAATAAGCATGAATAGTTTTTTATGAGGATAAAATTGTGACAATTAAAATTTTTTTAAAAACAACAGTTCCAATAGTACTTGACAAATTTGCAATAGCATATTCAAAGTTCAATTCTTTTGTAATCTTAAAAATGCCTTACAAATTCTTTTATGATTCATTGTATTTAAACTCTTTTCCTAATTAGTTATAAATGTTTGTCTAATTGAGATTCATCAATCAGTCATGATCTACCATAATATTTATTCTCATTAAAATTTCTAACATTGTTTAAGTTAATTTCTATATTTTAACTAGCTCTCTTTATAAATACATCTCCATCCGTTACTATTAATTGATGATATTTTTCAACACCATATTCTTGCATGTTATTATTATTACCATCATTAGTATTTGAGTACCTAAACATTAGTACATGGGGGTACCAAATACATATACTTTACACAATAATAGTGGGGCCAGAAGCAGTGATCATTGATTTGTGTGAAGGCTGTAGTGCTGCCCTTGGTGCCCTAACCGATGCAGGTGGCTTTCTTAGAGGGACACACCATAAACCTTTGACCTACAGGTCTAATCCCGAAGGTAGTAAAGTAACGTTAGAAGATGCAGTCCCATGATAGCCGGTGACCAACAATAAGCTCATAAGCCATTTGTACCTTCACGGTCCTTGTGCCTAAGTAAACCATTGGTTTGAAATGTGTTTCACGACTGCCCTAGTTGAACTCTCCGTGTCCACCGACCCGGTTAGAGCGTTGGACATTCGCTTCCCGCCCTTATAATTTAGTAAACAACATCCCCGCCACGAGAAGGCTGTGAGTAGGACTATCCTGACCGTGCTTGTATGCACGTGGGCATTGAGAGCATTCGAAGGCGGAGAGTTGACTCACCTCACCCTCATCTGTACCATGACGTTTGGGGGCACATAACCAAAGTAAGCAAAGGAAACTGATAACTTTAGTCATCTTTGAATAGTTCTCATTTTCTTTGAATCCTAACCATAGACACTAACCCAGAACAACCATTACTTAAGTTACGAAACAGTTGTAATTTTATCAATGCAACGTGTTTTTACAAAATCATGGAAGCTCGTTTAGAGGATGAAATTAGTCTGTCTACTGAGTAATCTACGTTGAGTTAGTTCACTGAAAGTACGGAGTACTGATGGTTTACCACTGAAGTAATTTGCTGCGTTAGGTTAGTTTTCGGTAGGCTCACCACTTCCACGACCCATGATCTGAATACAGTTACATCGTATAATTGATCGCTGTTGAAAAATACATGTCACCAAACCTCGTTTATAATCGACTTAAATGGCGTTGTTAAATAACGGATGGATGAACTATGGAATATGTGCATTTTGTACATTCGTTGACAGGAAAGCGAAACAAAACGAAACGATGAGCAATGAAGAAGGCGAGTGAGCTAACTCTATTTAATCAAGTGTGAATCGATACTTATAGTCAGACCGAAAATAAGTTACACACATGTGATGAATAGGATGAACAACACGCATACACACAATCATATAACAATAGTCTAGAGTGATAAGCGAATAACTGAAAAAGTCAATATGTAGCTTGAGAAGAATGAGTAGATTAATCTGTCCAGAGGCTAGAATAACCTATGTGGGCTTGACATAGTACCAGCCCTTACATTGTGTCTTTATACAACTAGATCATCTCCATAAACTTCGATGTTCTTAAAATTACGAAGTAATAGCGCCATCATGTTTCTGGAAGTAAACGGCAAGCCAAAGTGACACTAGTCTAAACTTGTAATGCCTCTGTTCGAAACTAGTAGCTGTCTTGTAATTGTTGCTTACATTTATTGGTCATGTCTTGATGGAAGACTAATATTGTAAACATGTTGACCTGCTGATGACGGTCTAGCGTTTCTACTATTGTCGGCATTGTGGTTGTTTTCAGTTCAATCATGTTGTTTAGTTTTAGGAAGTCGGCTGATAATCTGTGCTTTCCATTAGAATTCTTTACTAATAGAATGAGTGAATTTTTTGGACTATCTTGGTCAGCAACCATTCTGTCCCTTTACATTTATTTGACCCAACATTACTCCTCCCTCCCTAGACGGACTGGAATTCTACGTGTGTAATATTTTGTCGTTCATTGACCCCTTACGAGGTCTTGTGTGTCACTTCATTGCAAAACTCATAGGCTTCCTCGTCTTCGGTGAATAGATTTCTATAGCTTATCACGATTATTTCAGCACCTGATACCTTGTTTTCGCTTATGGTCGGTTTTGTACACCTGCCATCTCACTGTTTCCGTGTATGACGGATTGTCCACGCTTAGTGGTCACTGTTCTGTTCTTCGTATCAATCACTGCCGAAAGTTCTCTGAGAAAGTCTACTCCCTTTGTTTACAATGTAATGATGTTGTGTTCCACACCCATTAATTTCAATGCAGAATTTTCCCACTCTTAGGCTTTTAAGCTTGAGTTCACTCGAGGATTGAGATGCTGGTAACTGGTTCTTTGAATCTTTGTCCAGTGCAAGTAAAGTACAGCGTGGCAAGTAAGTTAATATAGATGTTAATACACGTGAATCTCCTTCTCGTGCGAAATGCATGGCTCTAGGCAGCTTTAATTCCTCATGATAGATAGTTCAGTGATTTGTTTACGTTACTACCGACCTGATAGGCTTTACTGGATCCGCATTGGCTGAAGGTGCTTTGTCACACATCCTTATCAGATCACTATTGGGTAAGCTGTTCTATGCAGCCCTCATAACATGTAGTTAGCTTAGTTTACGAGCTTCTCGACGTGCTGACTATCTTCTAACTAATACATAATAACTTCCGGTTTGACCATGTTTGGGACCCTCGATTATAGAGGTTTACAGACCTGAGCACTGTCAAGCCCTGAATATCCGTGACATCGTTAGACGAATTACAGGATCTGTAAAACAAGAAGGACGCGCTTAAAATAGCCAGTGTCTTATCATATTTTGCTTCTGATATTTCACCATGAAAGCATAAGCGATTCGTTTAGTTTATGCGAACTCAATGTGAAGATATTGAATATTGTATGGAGAATTTATACTTCGTAGTATAGTAGAGCGCGTATTACGGGGACGTTTCGTTTATGGTCTGGCTATCAAGATGGATCGGAAGGCAGCAAATTTTGTTCACTCACAAGCCGTTTCTAGAGACTACATATCACAGCCTCGTATAAGTGAGTTCATTACCCTCGATGATATGGTTTGCTTTTACTCACTAATAATGTTCTATCATAGTTTCTCGTTCCTGATAGTCAGGGCTTTCTTTCTACTAACTCTTGTGTCTTCCTTTCTGTAGTAATTTCTACATTAATGCAGAAGTTTATAGGTGCTCTATAACATTAAAGATCTTGATTTTGATTATTCGCGGCTGTCTTGGTTATTACTACTGCAGTAATAATTGTGGTTTGCCAGTTTTCTCAATAACAGAAGTATAACTTCAAGAAACTATATGTGGCACAAGATCTCACTACAAAAGTTAATAAAAGCAGAAGAAAAGGTCTTGACACGGAATTTTCGAGTGGATATGTATCCATTTTGTTAGCTGTTCCCTGGAAGTCTCATTCACTTGTAGCCTAAGGGATCATGGTTGAATGACAATTAAAGTAACATTGGTTCTATAAAACATATGCACGTCTCTAGTAGAATTCCCTCCACTTCAACGCTCACTGTTCTCTCTGTCAGCCTCCGAAGTCTTGAAAAAGTTTTAGCAAGTGAATAAAACTTACCTGCATGTATGTCATTTGGACAGTTATAATCCATAATATTCAGTTTTTATCGCTTAAACCTAAAGTTAGAAATCTGGGAAGAACTGGGTGTGGAAAACTTACGTCAATTGTATTTCGATCGACCCTATGATTGCTTAATCACTATAAGTTCCATTTATTAATCGTCCCGATGTATGAACAGCAAATAAAAATAATACGATCATAGGGGAATAAGAACTCGTGATTGTGAAGTAAGTAGTGAAGATACTTTAAGTAATCATTTTATTACGCAGTGTATTTAAAAATATGTATGTGTAATTCATACTTCGAACATTATTGTAGTGGTTGATGAATTGTAGTTTGTATATTTCAATGTTCGTCATTATCCAAAATGTCACAAGTCTTGAGTATATGTAACACACTATATTAAGCATTCTAGTTTAGTTTTGTCACTTTACACTGGCCACAAAGTAATAATGAATAGTCAATGTTGTTGACTCGTCACTTTGACTACAGTTATTCCCTAGTTGACTTTTAAAACATTTTGCAGCTTACAAAACCGTCTCAGGAGTAAATGGACCTCTCGTCATACTTGATGATGTAAAGTTTCCTAAATTTGATGAGATTGTGAGACTAACTCTTGCTGATGGTAGTCAGCGAACGGGACAAGTTTTAGAAGTTTGCGGCAAAAGAGCCATTGTTCAGGTATTCGAGGGTACTAGTGGCATTGATGCGAAGAACACTGTATGTGAATTCACAGGAGATATCCTCCGTACACCTGTGTCAGAAGATATGCTAGGTATGTTTAGTTTACGTAAATCTCAGGCGTTTTAAAGGTCGTATATTCAATGGTTCTGGAAAACCAAAAGATAAAGGTCCAGCAATCCTTGCAGAAGATTATCTCGACATTCAGGGTCAACCAATAAATCCATGGTCACGCATTTATCCAGAAGAAATGATCCAAACTGGCATATCAAGCATCGATGTGATGAATTCGATTGCACGTGGCCAAAAGATTCCCATATTTTCCGCTTCTGGTCTACCTCACGATGAAATCGCTGCCCAGATATGTCGTCAAGCTGGTCTTGTCAAGTTACCCGGAAAAAGCGTTACAGATAGTGATGTAGACAATTTCGCCATTGTATTCGCGGCAATGGGTGTTAATATGGAGACTGCTCGGTTTTTCATGCAAGATTTTAAGGAAAATGGTTCAATGGAGAATGTGTGTCTGTTTTTAAATTTGGCGAACGATCCAACTATCGAGCGCATCATAACACCTAGAATCGCTCTTACAACAGCCGAATATTTGGCCTATCAATGTGAAAAACATGTGTTAGTTATCCTTACTGATATGAGTTCATATGCAGAAGCATTGCGTGAGGTAAGTGATAAAGTGTTATATAAATGTATCGTATTTTGAACTAAGTAAAATGACTATAATCTCGGTTGAGAGTCTGGACTTGCTAACTGCTGATTGAAACGGTGTGTAAATCAAGTGATGGTTCACACATCTATATTGCCTCATGGACTGCTGTTCTACGCTTTATATTATAGTATACGGTTATTGATCTGTATTGTTTTGTCATTTCCCATAAATGTCAAGTTTCATGTGCCGGATTAACTCGGAAAATTGTAAAGGAGTCCCACACTACGCTACATTTGTTGTGGAGATAATTGTTATTTAACGATTATTTAGACACTGGAATAAGTTTTAATCTTGAGCCATCACTCAGTAGACAAAGATTATGAAGCGAGATATATAGATTTATATGGATTTCTAAACCGAAAATTCGAATTTAGTTCAAAATATATGTGGATAAGCAATTTTCACGATATGATGCGGTGGCCCATTAGGGTGAATGTACAACCAGAAGAGCTCTCAGTTAGGAAAGTTATAGCCACTCTTTATGAAGAAAGTAGAAGAAGGTTACAGCAGGACCGCCACTGGCTTCTATTCTGAGCCATATCTGATAATGTCTCTAGCCAGTGTTGCACCATCTCTCGGACCCCAGCCAGGGAGTCGTGAAGGACCAACAGAAGCTAGCTCTTTGCAGCTTTCTTGCATGCCATGACACCATGTCATACACTGACCTCCTCTCCGCTCTTTCCAACCAGTCCCAGAGTCGGCAAATAATGCACGACGTGGAATTCTCTGGGACGACATTCGTAAAACATGTCCAAGCCTCCGAAGTCGGTGTTTCAAGATGGTAACACCAATTGAATTGTCATCTCTGCGCCCGAACAGACGATACCGAACCTCTGCATTACTAACATGGTGTTGCCACTGCATGTCATTAACCCTTCGGAGACAACGATGATCGAACACAGAGAGACGTCTAACATCCTCAACTCGGAGAGGACAGGTTTCACAAGCATAGAGCAAAACTGCTCTCACCGACGCGTTGTAGATCCGACCTTTTACAGCCAGACTAACATCACGAAGGCGCCAAAGACAGCCCAGATTGGCATAAGCCGCTCTGGCTTTCCTTATACGTGCATCAATCTCATCACTCACGCCACCACCAGCACTTATATAGCTGCCTAGGTACACGAACTTCTCAACTACTTCAATCTGCTCACCATCCAGGGTGAGTACAGGATGAGAATCCTGCAAGTCTTGTAGGAGTACTTTGCACTTGGAGGGTGCAAAGCACATGCCGTACCTGCGGACACTGATTGCCAACTGATTAAGTGCGGATTGCATGCCTTGTGCATTATCGCACAGTAAGACAATATCATCCACATACTCGAGGTCGAGTTGTTCTCCAGGCAACACATCCACACCGCGATTACTTACATCCATCAGAGCTGTTTCCAGGATGTCGTCGATGGCAAAGTTGAAGAGGAATGGTGAGATCGGGCAATCCTGCCTAACCCCGCTGCTCGAATGAAACAAGGGAGAAAGGTGGTTGTATGCCCTCAGTCTGCCTGAAGTGTTCGTATACAGGGCCTTTAATATGTTAATGAACTTCTCAGGCACACCCTTCTTCAATAGACAATCCCAGAGAACAGTCCTGTCCAACGAATCAAAGGCAGCCCTGATATGAAGAAACACTACGATTGTTGGCCTGCGATAAGTATGACGGTGTTCTAACGTTTAGCGGAGGGTAAAGATGTGATCAATGCATCCTCGACCAGAACGAAAACCAGCCTGCTCCTCGCGAGTCAATCGTTCTCGGGTTTTAAACAACCTACGAAAAATGATAGAAGCCAATAGTTTGGACGCAATCGAAAGTAGACTTATCCCCCGATAGTTATTGCAGGAACAACGTGAACCCTTTTTAAAGATAGGGACGACTATTGACTCATTCCATGATGTTGGAACACTTTCTTGCTCCCAAACTTTTGCAAACAACACAGTCAATTCCTTAGTCAGAAAGTCACCACCATCTTTAAAAAGAGTCGGAGGTAAGTCATCTGGGCCAGGTGATTTGTAACGTTTCAAGAGTTGGAGTTCCTTGCGGACTTCCGCCTCGTTTGGTGGATCAGTAGTCACCGGCCATGGGGGGCAGGACAAGCTGGTTGATGTTGCCGGAGCAGCAGGCCAGTTGAACTGCCCTTCGAAAAATTCCGCCCATCGTCCAAGACGTCGACAGATGTTAGTGATTGGCATCCCGTCATCCTCGTAGATTGTTTCACTCACACCAGACTTGTTGCTGCGTTGAAGAAAGTACTTTATAACGTGTTTGAATATGTAGTGGTCTTGAAAGGATAACTATCATTTCTGCTCACAACATAGAATTATTTACAGTTATTTTTGCTATCAGGTGTTTTTATAAAATGATCTTTGTCGTTTAGGTGTCAGCAGCTCGTGAGGAAGTGCCAGGACGTCGTGGTTTCCCAGGTTATATGTACACTGACTTGGCTTCAATTTACGAGCGAGCTGGTCGGGTCGAAGGTCGATCAGGGTCAATCACGCAGATTCCAATTCTAACTATGCCTAATGATGATATTACTCATCCTATTCCTGACTTAACAGGTTATATTACAGAGGGTCAAATTTATGTTGATCGTCAATTACATAACAGACAGGTTAGTGAAAAACTGCAATATTTCACTTATTGGGTTGTAAATTAGTTTATTCTAACATATGAATTACACTTTTGAGTTTGATGAGCACATACTTTAATATGGCTAATTTATCAAAGTTTTAATGTCTCCAATGTGGTCAGATATTGAAACTGTGATGCTTGTTTAATCCTAGCTGTGAGTCATTTGACTTACATTTTGGCGTTTATGGTTTTAGGTACTAGGTTCGAATCAAAGTTTTAACATCAGTGCCGTGATACTGGTAGATTCACTCGACGATTACCTAGTAGAATTAGACGCACATCATGGATTCTACTGCTATCCACAATCTAACTATACTCAGTTATGTCAACCCGTGTTATGATTTAAATCATATTAGTACGAAGATTTAAGAATTATTTACCGTATAAGCGTTAGATCATTTCAAATTTAACAACCTACAAATGTAATAATGGTGATTGGTTTTTTTTTATTCAATGCGATTACAATTTTTATAACCAAACCTATTTTTTCTTAAGCACGGTGATACACACATGCACATAAACATATTTACTTTGCTACATAAATTCATTTTTACTTTACAACCTTAAAAATTCAATTTATTCACATCAAGTTCATCAGAAATGTTTCATGTAAAATTAATGATGTACTACTATTCGAGTTTTTAAAACATCAATTATCTAATAAAAAAGAAGAATTAATTAACTTCCATGCGTTACATTCACTAGTAATGATACATCAATAATAGTCTATTTTTATAAATAAAAACTTTTGATGATTATATTGAATCTCGGCTAAGTTATTTCTTGTAGTCCTCAAATGTCCTGGTATGGTTGAGGGTGGAGAGAGTCCCTTCACGAAAGGCTTTCATAGAGCCACGCGTTTATACCCACTACCAAGGAAGTTCTACTCACTACCTTCTCGCGGTAGGCTGTTGTTAACGAAAATGCGAGGACAAAAAACGAATCTTTGGCGCTTAAACCGTATTGTCCTGTGCGAAGGGTTCACCCTGATTACAAACCAATGGTGTACATGGTCTCCACGATCCTAAAGGGACAAATGGCGTACAAACATATTCTTGGTCACCAGCTGCTATAAGACTATATCTAGCGTTGCTTCACTGCTTCGTGGACTAAATCTGTAAGTCGAGCGCTCGGGGGTGCCCTCCTAAGAAAACCATCAGTTGGGGAGCCTGGGGGATATCGCAGCCGACACATAAAGTTAATGATTTGTGTGGCGCGTATATATCTTGGTGTCTCTTAGTAGAAATGTTTGTGTTTGAGCGAATGGTTAATTTTTTCTGACAATATAAATTACTCATTATTTTACTATTACCATATCTCTTTTTGATGGGAATATTTGTATCATCTGTATGGAATGAAAAATCACATAGATCTATCCTCCAATCAACGTGTTACCGTCGTTGTCACGTTTGATGAAATCTGCCATTGGTGCGAATATGACTCGTGAAGATCATTCTGATGTGTCCAATCAGTTGGTAAGTTTTTGTTTACTTAAATTTTTAGTTGGTGTGCGTACGGAGATGTTTATGGTCTGAGTCGGTTTCTTTAATTTACCATGAAAAATTCACGGTTGTCAGTGTTGAAGTAGGTACGACCAATGTCGATGAGGAGTAGAGGATAACGCTATTCAGTTAAATACTCATCAAAGGAATTCTATAACGGTAGAATATTACTTACAAATATATTGGAAAATCAAATCGAAACTAATGATAGATTTTGTCCACTGTTTAATACCGTGACACGATATCTACTCTATGTATTCGAAAGGATTATTAATATAATGTAGTGTGTTTTCGATCATAATGGGGGCCATAATTAAATAAACGGTATCGCCGTAAAACATCGGCTTGACAATACATCGCAAAAATTATCTCAAAGGTTTCCATTAAAAACTGTTAACAGAGCAATGTTTCATCTGTTACCATCTTCCGTAACTATAAAAAGTAACTATACTAATAAAATATTCATCGACCCATCGAGATTCTATTTAAAGTTCTAGGATCAAACTGCTCAGTGACTTGAGATGTTCGCGATTGAAGCCAGTAGCCATCTTATTGTAATTCACTATTCAATCCCTTGAAATACGAAAGACCTGTCTTCAAACAAACGTCACAAATCATTAGATTGTGTTCTTCTGAACATTGTCCAAGGAATTATGATTTTTTGACATTTCTTTGGATCTTGTTGTGAATTGATCATGTTTCCAATTTTCCCATCAAGCACTCATCAGGAATATCCAACTTCAAGAGGTCTTATTTTGCAACCTCAGCATAAAATTGCTCACATCACAGAATTTTCCCCACCCCCACATAACTTTCTTTGTGAAGCTCTCAATTGTCAACCGTGCCCCGGCTTGCTCAAAGGAATGCTTGATTTTATCTCTTGCAACGTTGCTAGCTTTCACACAGCTTCTGAGGTACATGGATTTCTCGACTATTTTAGAAACTTGATTCTGAAGAATAGATGGGGACATAAGCTCTTCCTTTTGGGTACTGTAAGAATTTGCATAAGAGCTGTTGTTCATTTCTAATCATTTATTTTCCTTCTGGAGCCACTCTTGAGGTTGCTAAACTTTCAGAAGCTAAATACATTGTGATTGGCCCACACATAGTATTGCTTTTAATTCCATATCGTGAACTTTTTTCATAGGTGCTAAGTTTCACTACCATTCATTTATCTTCATATTTGTAATATTTACGCATTCACAACTGATCCCTTCATTTTCTCCTCTTTATTCTTTTTATTAACAGTATGCATGTTACGCAATAGGAAAAGATGTCCAAGCAATGAAAGCTGTTGTTGGTGAAGAAGCATTAAGTCCTGAGGACTTACTTTATTTAGAATTTCTAACAAAGTTTGAGAAAAATTTCATTTCTCAAGGTTAGTTCAATTATCTAGACAATCTCTTTCGTGGAAATGTCATAATTCAAACGTCTTGGTATTAGGAATACCCATTTCTGTGTGTAATCGAGAACAAATTACATATACTATCCAATTTAGCTTGGAAGTCCTCAACATCAACTCATAACTATGATTTGGTCTTATTCTGAATTCACGCCTCACAGTTAGTCAATCATAATCAACATAGAGCTTGACAGAAACGCTCATCACCATACGAAATCAACATAGCGAGATGAAATCAACGAGATGAGTAATAAATGAGTTTAAATAGTAGTTGTATCACTGAAAGTGGAAAAAACTAAACCCTACATGGTATATTTTTAATGTGTACTATTGTTTGAACTAATAGATTTCAAGTTGTTGGGCATCGAGTTAACTAGAAGTATTACTAAGAGAATTATACTCGTAGAAATGTCAGCGATTATAATAAAAATATGGAATTTCGAGTTCTTGATCATTTCTTTGAAGACACTCGGTTGAAACTGCAGTGTGAAACAGTTGGACTATTTTAACTTCAGTCGCTGATATTTTGACAAACATTGTTTATAACTGAAAACCACGATTCAGCAAGAAGTGATACACTTGAAGAACAAAACTTTTGACAGATAATATAAGATGAAGACTGAATGGAAATTTCATCTGAGCTGCATCACTCAGTATCTACAACCTCTAATCGTAGTTGTCATGAGAAACACGGTGAAACCAGTTTGCAGCTACAAGCCATAGTCCCCAAACGCCCTGGTACGACCGAGAGTGAAGAGAGTCCGCTCTCCCTCTCGAGAAGCGTATACAGCCTCTTCCAGGGAAGTCCTACTCATTGCCTTCTCGTGGCGGGGATGTTGTCTAAGAAATTGAGAGGACGAAAAGCGAATGTCCGGCCCCGGGTTGGTGGACACGGAAAACCCTGATTCCAAACCAATGGTGCACATGGGCTCTAGTATCCTGAGGGAACTAATGGTATATGAATCAATCGTTGGTCACCGGATACCATAGAACTGTATCTCCTCACGATGCTCCATTGCCTTATGGATCAGACCTTCAGGTCAACTGCTCGGAGTGTGGCCCCCTAATAAAACTACCAGCTTCAGTTTGGGCACCTGTGCAGTATCACAGCCCTGACACAAATCTCATTTGATTTGTACGGCTCATATGTATCTGGTGCCCCTTTGTACCAATATATTATATGTTTAAATTAACAAATAATAAATAAGCTATAAGCCATAACTCACATTCGTACTATTGAGTTTTTCAGTTGACATTCAGTGTTACTTAGCTTTTATGAATGGCCTTTCAGTTGATTACTTAAGTCGTGTATATGCTAACCAGTTGAATTGTTTTAAGACTCACTGGTTTTTTATGTTTTGTTGTTCTTGTTGTATTCAATTGAATTAGGTGCTTATGAAAACCGTAGTGTATTCGACTCATTAGATGTTGGTTGGGAACTCCTGCGTATATTCCCAAAAGAATTGTTAAAACGAATTCCATCAAAAATATTAGAAAAATACTATCCTCGTTAATTGATTAGTTGATTTTTACCCTATTATCCTGGATTGTGAATATTCCTACCATGGAAGTTGCATTATTTATTGGTTGAAGTAAACTCGGAATAACATATATTGTCGTCAGCTTTTACATTCCTATTTATTTTCTTTCCTAACAATTATCACTTATGATTTTCATTACCTCTAATGATGGCATTATTCAGTCATCACCAATTACTTAATTATCATTATGATTTTTAATTTTGTTTCAATGTTCATTCCATTTATAAAGCTCCCCCACGATAGTTTTCTATTACACTGTATTTTCTCTGTTCTGAATGTTCAACCACTTCACTTCAATTCTTATGGTTTCTTTACATATTTCTATATACATTAAATCTTTACACTGTTTTGGAATTTTTGAAATAAACTACAAGCATAATATAAACATACTAATGGTTAAGGTTTCATTTAAATAAAGCTATAGGCTTTACTTTTTCATTTTCTTGTTCTTCTTCTTTCATTTGATTTGATTTTGTATGCAGAACTTCTAATTATACCAATATTGAACAATTATAATAATGATAATCATAGTAATAATATTTGTTCTTTATCAATAATATTGTTGTGAATGAGAACATAGGTGAGTACAACCAACTATGTATTTAGCACCAATTACAACGTTATTTGGTCAAATACAAAAACCACACTATGTGATACTCTATTTACAAAATGTTCTTCAATTGTCTCAGGTTTCACTGTTCCTGGATATCCATACAAATTACTTTTTATTTCTGTTCTTTTCTTCTTGATATTCTCAATCTTCTGCTGTCAGATATTCTATTCCTTACTCACTATATATACCACTTATGTCGATGTAAGTAGCTCACACCACAATTTTACTTTAAACATGCATACATAGTAGAATCGTAAATAAAGCAAAAAATGATACTTGCTCTGAATGAAGAGAAATGTGGCCTGTAGTACACAATTCTGTTTTCTATATGTAGTTGATAATTAACGGATGTTTGAATACTGACCATATACAGATTGCTTTAATTGTATTGTGGAACCGTTTTCACAGAGAGAGCGAACAAGTATTTCGCAATGGAATATGTAGTTTTGAAGATAGAAGCATATTATAATCAGTTATAGAAACTGTAAAATTGGAAATAAAACATGGAATACGAGTCTTTCGAATGTTTATATTTCATGAACTCATTTCGACAAACAGATGGAGAGTTTAAAAGTAGAGGAAGCAAACTAGTCCACTGAAGACAATTACTCTTTACAAGCGCTTGTATAACCCAAACTAGATTATACGTAGTGAGACAAAGAAACAGATTGGATAAAATGGTACGTGCATAAACACATGGAGCACACGTCAGAATTAAAAAAAAGTAGAATTACAAAGACAGAGTTATGAAATTGTTAGTGAGACATAGAATGGATTGAAGCATGTTCCATCACAATAGTATCGGTGCACGCTGATTGGCTAATTCTTAACCAATCAGCGCTAGTCGATACTTGGAGAAGACTCTAGAACATTCTCATCTAAAAACTATAAATATACTAACGTATTTCTTATTGCGCTTCTTACTGCCATCTATTTTTGTTATTCGGAATATAAATTCTTCCCTGTTCAACTGTGTTCTGATTTGGAGACTTGTCGAGTGTATTAGTGTCCAAGAATACCAAGCAATAGGAATAGCTGGGTCGTAATAAAAGAAATTATAACAGATATATGTAAAGGTAATGTAATTATTATTGGTAGTAAAAGTATTAGTGTGGTGTGGGTTACTTATATCCACATAAGTAGTATGTGATGTAGGTCAGGCATAGAATGTATTTTGACAAGATCGATAGCGAAAGAACAGGAGCGAAGCACAATTTGTATGAAAATGCGTGAATAATGAAACCAGAGAAGGTGGACTGATATTTGCAGAAGGAACAGTCAAGATTGAGACGATTGTTATTTTGCAAATTAACCGTTAACTGTATGATTATTAGATTTTTGTGAAATATTCTGTAATTTGTGCTCAAATACATTCGATTGTCCCCACCCGTGTTCTTGTTCACTATAGTACCAGTGGTATTAGTTGTTATATGATATGAATGACTACTCGAAAGCAATGTAGTGATATTTGATTAACATTAATAACCATTCCTTATGTTTGAATTATTGAAGTATTCATCACAATCTAACGTCTGATGCTCAGCAAAAATGAAATCCGACTGATTCGTTCGTATACTTCATTGCTACTTACTATCTCTGAAGTCCCTCCTCTATATGTGTCCATAAGCCAATTACTAACGTTGAAGTGTTGTCTGACAGACGTCCGGTCGATTCGAGTTCCTATTCATTAAATCGTACTACAAGAGTCCTTCATAAATAGAATTCACCGTGGTCAGCACAAATACCTTAATCATTCTCGTTGAGATTTAACTGTGTGAACGTAAGCACCAGAAATGATTACGTCTCACATTAAAACTACCCATTGTATGTTATGGTTTACTATTCCATAGATTACTTTACTGAGAAATTTTGTCTATGTTGTTTTAGATATTCGACTTTCATTCAGTAATGTAACATAGTTAACTTGAATAAATCATCCTTTTGTAAATACTTGCCCCCAAATGCCCTGGTACGATCGAGAGTGAGGAGAGTCCGCTCTCCCTCGGAATGCTCTCACATGGCCACGCATATATAGCCTCTGTCAAAGAAGTTCTACTCACTGCCTTCTCGTGACGGTGGTGTTGTTTACGAAATCGAGAGGACGAAAAGCGAATGTCTGGCGCTTTAACCGGTTTGGTGGATACGGAAGGTTCACTTAGAGGACTTGGAAAGCCCTGATTCCAAACCAGGATCCTGAGGGAACAAATGGCGTATGAATCAATTGTTGATCACCGGCTACCATGGAACTGCATCTCGTTGCGATGCTCCACTGTCTTGTGGATCAGATTTTTAGGTCAAATGCTCTGAGTGTTGTCCCCTAAGAAAACCACCTGCTTCACTCTGGGCATCTGGGCAATATCATAGCCCTTACACAAATCGAACGATATTTGTATGGCGCATATGTATCTGGTGCTTCCTTGTAAATACTTGCTTATCGATGTTGTGAACAAAACATTTTTCATTTATTTTTGTATGTGTGTATTTGTTTCCAAAATAGTTCAATAAATGTGAATTCAATCATTTTAACTGTTTATTTGTGTACTTTGATTTTTATAAAACGACCACATATATCTACTTAATATTTTGCATAAATTATAATATATATAATGAAACAAACTCACAAAGTAATCATCATAAGTTAAGTAGTTAAGACGAAAAGTAGTAACAAATGAACTATGATTCCAATACTTATTCACGTTAACAACCATGATATACAAACATGTATAAATATGATTGCATTACTACTGATAATTGTTTGGTATCTGTTATATCTTGTGGCCAAGTGGATGCCTAGTTAATGTATAACGTGATAAGACCGCTAATCACGGAGCAGCGAATGATCGATTGGAACAGTGATACACGAAAACCGTACGAGTAGTCTAGAGCGCGAACCGGTTCTGCTTTTGCCTAACCCAGCCAGTTAAGTCCAAAACACCAATAACAGTCTTTGTGGTATGAATCATTATTTACAAACATACTAGGTTTATATACCAACCAAACAGACCACATCGTACCATAAAATAGAAAATAACATTTGTACAATATTTAGCCAAATGTGGCTGTGAATAAGGGGAAAGTAATTAACAGACTGATGATAACTCAAGAATCGTATAATAATAGTTCAAAGGTCAAAATAAAGCTAATGATAAGAGGAACACGAATATGAATAGGTTAGTTACAACAGGAAATATACATATTACATTGGCCAATAAATAGTCCTCAAAAGTTACCATTCACAATTCTCTTCGGGATACAACAGTATCGTTGAAAGTAGTATTTAAGAAAAGTGGACTTGTGACCCAATCAATATATGACGTAACGACGCCGCCAATCAGAGAACAGTGAATTATTGATCGTACCAATGATGCATAAAACCTGTACCAGCAGTCTAAAGTCTTTATCGATCCTTGCTTCCCACCTAGACTTGTCTATGAAGTCCAGAACACCAATCTCAGACTGTGATATGAATCATATATCTCAAGCCTATTAGGTTTATATAAAACCATACTTTGTACAAGATTTACCCAAAAGTGGCTGTAAATGTGGGAGACAATGATTGATAGATTGGGCATAACTCAACAATGGTGAATCGTGTAATAATAGTTCATAGGTCAAAATAATAAGAAGAACACGAATATGAATAGTTTAGCTACTTAACAATTATACGATAAAAATATATGTATAGTATTAATCCAGGAAAAGATTCCAACAGTTACCACTCATAATTCACATCAGGATATAACAAAAAGTTTCTCATCGACGATTTTGATCTGTGCTTATTATTCGTCGTTGATTTATACAAATTTTGATCCAACTACATAGTATTTCTGGAAATACCAATTAGGTTAGTTGAATGTAACAAAAAAACGATAACCAAACATCATTATAAAATTACTTGTCTTTGAATAATACTAGTTAGTAAGCCCTGGTACGGCCGAGAGTGTGGAGAGTCTGCTCCCCCTCTCGAAATGCTCTCACATGGCCACGCGTATAAAGCCTCTGCCAGAGAAGTCCTACTCACTTCCTTTTCGTGGCGAGAGATGTTGTTTGCAAAATTGAGAGGACGAAAAGCGAATGTCTGGCGCTTTAACCGGGTTGGTGGACACGGAAAACCCACCTAGGGGAGTTGGAAAACCCTGATTCCAAATCAATGTTGTACATGGTCTCCAGTATCCTGAGGGAACTAATGGCGTACGAATCAATTGTTGGTCACCGGATACCATGGAACTGCATCTCCTCATGATGCTCCACTGCCTTGTAGGTCAGAGGCTCCGGGTGTGGTCTCCTAAGTAAACCGCCGGTTTCGGTTTGGTCACCTGGACAGTATCGTAGCCCTCACACAATTAAATGAAATGACAAC